ATCCCACTTCAGGTCGTTTTTATTAGCCAAGAAACGTTCCGAGCGCCTGTAACGAAACCAGATCGGATCTGTCGATATGTTATTGGTTTTTAACAGTTTTGTCAGTTTACTAACCCACGATTTGCACAAATATTTAGACATGTCATCGTTTTCATTCACTTGCCCACAAACAATGTCCAACGTTGGAATAAAAAAAAATGAAAACGTGTCAACGAATATAAACCTTCTGTTCTTGACTTCCGATGAATCAGCGCAAAGCCTACACGCCTCGTTGTGATGAACCCAGACGTTCACATTTATGATACGGCAACGCTGATTGGTGGCGCCAGCTCCTTTGCGCGTCCAATCAAATGACTCAATTTAACTGCAGTGAAATACAGCTTTTCCTAACACGATCACGCACGGGTTCGTGGGCCGGTTATGAATGGCCGGCTTTAGCGATACCGTGCGATTCGGACGATGAACGAATAGCCGAAATAACACTATTTAATTGGTGGTGGGAATTGCCAGGCCAGTTTATAAAATTGTGAAGAAATATTTTCAAAAATATTATTGACTGCGAAAGACGCCCACCGCGAAGTGTCTTGTATATCAAATAAAATATCGTAAACACATAATCTTTTTTGAGCGGCTATAGATTAAAATGGTATCGACTCTTCGAACTGATTTTGTACCATCCAAACCGTAATCTTTGTATATGAAAGATTTATTAGATTGCGAAATGTAAAGACCAGACGGTCGAAGGAGAGTGAGAATAAAGACAAAATCGTCAATATTGTTCACCAGCGAGGGCACACTTCAGTGATATGCGCCAACAACGGTCAAAATTCGCACGACACCCAACGTACGAGACTTCGCGAGACCGTGACATTCCGCCATCTTCGAAGTGAACTTGCAGTTTTCAGCGGAAAAAGTACCTGTGTTGTTGAGATTTTCTGTCAGTATTACCCATAGCACGGATTATTCGTGCCGATTAAATTGCAGATATGGTAAGTACGGAATATGTGATCGATTTAAACGGTATAACTGATTATTTTACTCCGTCCGCGCTCATCGTCGCCTGCACCGGCTTCCCACGTGTGGAGATTTCTGACATTGTGAAGCAGAACATGTCCATGTCTGTCCTATTCCTCGATTGATTCGAACAACAATTTAGCTTTACAGTAAAACAAGCTCCAGTCTCTAAATGCTCGTATTAATTAATAAAGAACCAGATTAGCACCACAATGATTCAGCATACACAAATAAATACTACATTCAACTTTATAATAATCACTGGAAATTCAGACGGAATCTAAGGCAGAATATCTTTTTCGATGAATTTAATGACTAGGGACATGGTGCGATGTGGCTTATTTTTTTGATATCACTCATGGGAGAGATATTAAATTTGAGAATAACTCTTGTTGTAGTCTATCTTGATTTTGTCCGATCTGATTGTTCTCGTTTGCATGAAGCATTTATAAGGTTATTAGTATTCAACTTTCGTAACAGTCTTCGGCGATATAAGATAAAAAATCGTTTGAAACAAATCTGGTTTGATTAAACAGACACCAGCTAGATTATTGCCATATTCGAACGTACAAGTAAAAACAAAATCAAAAAGATTAAACAAATATTTTTTTTTTTCACAGACTTGCTAATTTGCATAATTTCTAGAAATGTAGGGTTGTCTTGTGTTTTTTTAATCATCTTGCTATTTATGGGATTTTTAGTTTAAAATGTGTTCAAATTTCATGTGAACATTGTATTTTACATTCC